CGTTTACACTGGAATCTGCCTTTGACGGCTTTTTTAGAGCAAATATGAAATTCAGCAGTCTAACTGACACATAATACAAAACAATAACTACACAACACACTAACTACAGCCTCCAAACACGCTAAACATCACTAATGTCTCACATATGAAAACTCGCTCTCTCTCTGTCTTTCGCTCGCCCGCTTTCCGTGCGGGTGTCACTCCTAAAACTTCCCCTTCTCCCTAAACAACCAAGTGCTGCATGTTGCCATATCATTTTTTTTGATTGGCTGACATGGTAAACTCTAACACCAATAGGGAAGGGGTGTTTTTTCTTTTTTTCACTCGCAAACGTAGAGTTTTTGCTAGCGCTGTCTGTAGAAAACGCAGTTTTTACCGTTCTTCCCGCTGTAAACGCCACTGTTTTGTTCAGAAAAAAACATCGCGTGTATTTTTTATCATAACTCTGGTTTTACGTGGCCCATCGACACAATTCAAAAACTGGTATATAGTTTGAAGTCCTCACTTTTGACTCAAGTTAAAATGGAGACTCTGACGTGCTGCATCTTGTAGCTGTGTCGTCTTAAATTGGTCATGTGATTTTGACGCGCCGGCGCGTCCAGCGACCACAGAAGGTTAATGTCCACCCTACTGTGTAGTGTTCGCCCAGGGCACCAAACAAGCCAGGACCGCCCCTGGCATTACCCATACTTAAAATAAAATAAATAGAAACGTTGCTTTTTGCCATCTGTCACTAACATTGTGGGCTGTACAAAGATTAAAAGCAGAAATATATACAAGCCATTTCAGGTCAAAGCCATACTTGCCAGCCAACCTTGAGCAGTGGCGTGTCCAGCGGGGTGGCCTGGGGGGCACAAGCCAGCACCACCCCCCCTCCAACCAGACTGGCCACCCCGAAGCTAAAACAATAAAAGTCAAGCAAATATCAAATGTACGATTATGTTTTCACAGTGAAGCTCAGATATCCGAGTGTAAGTGAATGCAACATCGGCTTTTGCACTATGAGCATCACATTAGCAAAGGAAGGAGAACCAAGCATGAACTGCAGAAAAAAAAATTTTGGTGAAAGAAAATGAGAGAATAAATGTCCCTGTAAGTAATATTAAGTTTGTTACTTAAGGAATTATTACAACAGCCGAATATTTCAGACAGTAGGCTACTGGGGGGAGCTAGCATGAGAGTTATGAGTTATAAGATATAATCCAAGTTGTAACATTGCTGTATGGAGCTGCAGATTTGGTTGCAGGTTAATACTGGCAGTGTCGCCAGCTGACTGTATTTCATCATCAGCCAGTTTTGTTCTTTATACATCAATATTACCAAAGTTTACCATAAGGCAGCACTTACACTACACTGTGTGGTCTAGTTAATTTCTAATAATAATAATAATCTCTCATTATTTATCCTTTCTGCCAGCTCCATGTTATGAAAACTTTCAAAACATAAATATTTTGCAACTGCAAGTGCTGTTGTTTACAAATGTTTTTGTACTTCTTGTCTTCCTAACATGTAACAGACTCCTATTAAAAGTTCAAGGGGCTTATTTTTGCACAATTTATACTGAAAACATTATCAAAAGAAGTAATAGAAAGTATTTACTTGCTTTCAGGTTTAATTCAAATGTTAGTCTTTTCATTTGTTTCCCCACTCCCCCCCCGAGAAGATTATCTTCTTTTTTTAATAGGCAGATAAAGTTTTGCTATGCCATTGGCTAATTTGCCAATTGTATGTTAAAAATATTCATATTTTAATATTCAGAAATGTTTTAGTCCAAAACATATGTGCACTATATGTCAGTAAAAATACTATGCAAATATTGCTGTCCTTGAATGCTGAATAAACACTGACAAAGCATTGACTGCATCTCTTGTACTTTATCAACGCAGTATCTGAAAAATTTGCACTGTAGTCGTTAAAATCTCATTCTAATAAGAGTTAAAAGCACATTTGGTTATTAGGTTTTAGGGTTATTGAATTATTGAATTATGGTAAACGGTTGGTAGAATTTTTTTTAACATTATCTGCCAATTACATCTGCCACCCTTCTCCAAATCTGTGCCCCTACCTGGCCCCCCCCAACAAAAATGTTCTAGACACACCACTGACCTTGAGACCTCAGAATTAGGGAGACGTTGAAAAGGGCTGGTGGGGGAGGGAGGGGTATACATATACATTCAAAAAACTCTAATTTTACAGTGTTTATTTATCGGATAAAAAAAGTTACATGTCACCGTTATTATTGTCCGGCTGGAAACAGCGGGGGCATCCAAATTCAGAGGCTTCATCCTTCCGAGAACCCGGCCTTCGTGGTCTAAGCGGCCCGGGTCCGCCGAAAGCCGGGTAGGCCGGAAGTGAGCTACTGAAATTGGACAGTCTAGCCTTCGGTTGAGTGAAACTCTGCCGTCTGCTCCTTGCAATCTAAAATATAACCGGACGCTGACGTAAATTCTCGACCATCTCACACTTCTGTTTAATCAGTTTTCTGTTTAATCAGTTTTCTGTTTGACGTTTATTCAGGTGTGTGAAAACCCGTGAGGAACCCTCCCTAGGGATTAATAAAGTTAAATTTAATCTAATCTAATAACTTTAATCTCAGCCAAACCGACTTACTCACAAAACGCTGAAAAAGAACAAACAATAACATTTTTAGGTTATCAAAGTGACTTATATATCATGTTTATGTTTAGCCAAAGATCGCTGGGTTTTTGAAAACGATGTCGGAGTTTGCTGTTCTCGCCGGCTCTGATATTTAGTGCGATTCGTTTACATATTCTCATCCGCTCTGAAGGAGCTGTTGCACCTTTCATTTACAAATTACAGTCTAAATCCTGACATGAAGTACTTCGAGACCCTTATATTGTTTTGCTCAGCCGCGGAATGTTAGTAAATATGACCCAAATAGGTCGTAGATAACAACGAGGCGATTCTGAAGACGCGCACTTTGTAGTCCGCCTACTGGGCAGTGCAATTACCATACGTCAGACATACTGCGTCATATTGTTAAGACGTTTAGTGCAAGTCCTTATCCCTTTTCCTACACACCTTTCCTTTGAACTTATGACATTTTCCACCTTTATCAAGCAATGGTGTTCAGGAAAAGGACACAGGAGGTAAGTAGCTAAAATACTTTTCAGGTGTCGCTACACACGGAACGGGGAAATGAACAGAGGCAGCCACACCGATGCCTGATCAAAAAACCGCAAAAGTTAAACTTGATGGTTTTAATACTTACACACTGTTGTGTGACTCGAAGGATAACCGCCTTACAGACTCGTGCGTTTTTCCACAGCACTAATGGACTAGCTTCCCCTCAGTCTGAGCGTAAATCTCAGCTATAGTTAAATTAGGGTGACCATATTTTGATTTCCTTCTCTGTGCAGTTAATGAATTCTGAAAGAAAATATATCATATAGGCTTTTACAAGTCAGCAAGTGCAAAATAAATAACTTAAAAGCCTCTGGAATTAAATAATGGTACAGAAATAATACCTCATCTGCATAAGAATAGTTACCAGTACTGGGCCGTACGAAAGAATTTTTTTTGCAGTTCGTCTGAAAAGATGCACTTGCGCTTCGGGATCTTTTAAATATCATTAGGCGTGTTGCCGCGCACGATCTGTCTCGTCTGTGAGCGCAGAACAAGCAGTGTTGCCAACTCCTCAGTGAGGAAAATCGGTATTCGCTGTCCTAAAAGTCGCTAGAACTCGCTAGGTGACGTCATCGCCTAATTTGCATAATTGGTCCTGCCCACGGGCGAGAGCGATAAACATTGTGGAAGAGACCTAAAGTGAGTAAAAACAAACAAACAAAACAAACCACCCAAAAGTATTTAGAATATGTTTAGAACCACAAATTAATTTCTTTTAGCGATTCCAACCCCCCCTCCCCCTTTTATCTGGACTTGGGACCGGCGAAAGTGACCCGAAATAGGCTCTCTGGTTACTTTGTGTGTCTGTGTTCCATATAATCCATAAAAAGTAACAATATAAGAAGAACATTTTTAACCATTAACAAACAAAAAGGACATAGCAAGCCTCACCAGACAGCTTCAGTCGAAATCGGATGTTCAAGGTGGACTTAAGGCTCTGCAAGGACTTCCAATTTTTCAGTGATGGGAATGATGTATTTTAGTGCCTTGATTTATTTTAGACAAAGAAAATGTACATTTACTGCTGCGACTCATTTGCAGTTTGTATGCATAGGGGTGAATATCTCCTGCTCTGACATCAACTAGGACTGCTCCGTGAAGACTACCCGCTGCCTGTGAGCGCTTTGGCACGGGCAAGGTGCCCACGGCAGCACCCGCTGCTTGTTGAGTGTAAGAGCGACAGGTGCTTTCACGTCAGAAAGTTGTCATACGTCTCCGATAACGCCAGAAAAAAGTTGTCAGATTTGCTGCTAGTTGTTTTGGGTTTTTGTTTTTTTAGAAAAAAGGTCGCTAAGGGGGTCTGAAAACTCGCTAAATATAACTAAGTTGGCAACACTGAACAAACGCTCACAAAGCAGCAGTTCGGGGATGAGGTCACACATATGGGTCCTCTGTCGGACATTTTTATCAATCTCAAGAATCCCCCCGGACAGAACGTGAAAAGTGGACATGTCCGGGGAAAAGAGGATGGTTGTCACCCTAGTTAAATGTAGTGCAAACAGTCCTTCAGTGACATAATAACAGAGAGAGATAAAGAGATTACTAAGTAAAAGTACATCTACTATTATCTCAGTTTATTTACTTTTCGGATATTAACAGGTATTGGTGCAAATTAGTGTAGTCTCCTATATATTGTCGGTTGCCGCCGTAGAGGCGGTCTCAGTTAAACTCGAAAGGTTTCTGTAGTCAGCAGGAGTGCGACAGCCGACTGTCATGTTAAAAAAAAATAGATAGCGAAATATTATTTAAAAGGGGGAAACAGGACATACGTGAATAGTTTAAATACGAAATATTCCGAGTATATTTTCTAGTTTGTCGGCAGACGGGTCCTAAAAAGCCACGCCCACGGCATATTCGTTTCCGCGTCTTAGGTAATCTAAACGTCGTTTAATTTTAGGAGCAGCATCTAACGCTGACAACAATTGGTTGTTAGCGTTAGGTACACCGACTGACGTGGCTGCATGCGGATTTAATAAAGAAGACTAGCTAAAATGTCGCGATTTCATGTACTCACGTCACCGTTTCACTTCCTCCTAATCCGCAGTTTCTCTCTCGCCAGACACTCTCTGAAGCCCTTCGTGTCGTCACTTCTCACACTTGGCATCTTCTCACACTTGGCATCTTCTCACACTTGGCATCTTCTCACAAGATTTCACCCTGGATTCGCTCAGATTCGTTTAATCTGCTCTGGACTCCTGTCCATTACAGTTGGAGATCTGTTAAGGCTCCTGGCTGCATGTGCAGGTTCTCAATCATTCAGGTCATGGTAGTCTAACAGAAAGAAAGTGACTGGACTTGTTTAAGCTTCAAGAAACGTAAAGAAGTCCAGTCGCTTCCTGGACTACATGTTTTCAGTTAATTCAATATTATCCTACACTGCTATAAACATACCCATTTATCTTTCCTTTATCTGGAGTCACTTTCTCTAACATCAATCAGGATAAGCTGTCACACAAACCTGGATTTCAAAACCATTAGTTAACCCAGGGGCATGTATCCCCAGGGGTTTCCCTGAGTGCCTGTCTAATCACAAACTTAAATACATGTGCTGACAGAGTGGCTGAATTTAAAATAGAAAAGAATAAACTACACAAAGACAAAAAAAATGAAACTGTGGGAAACAATTTAACACAAAAATACAGTTAAAGCAACAGCTGCTGCACACAAAGCGGCAGTGTGAGTGTGAGGAAAATTGCTGTACAATATTTTATTAAAACTGCTGTAGAAATGCATGTGAGCTCTGGTCAGTATGAAAGAGAACTACCTATTATATTAGAAGTAATAGTAAAGTGTAGCCTATTTGAACCCAGAAAAATGCAGATTGTTTATTATTTAATGTAATGTTTAATTTAATGTTTAAATTACATTTTATCCTTTCAGCTGCAGCCTTGGTGGTCTTTAAGAGTCGGAGAATAACAAATAAATATAGAAACAATTCAAACATAGGCTTAGTCAATGTAAAAATTACACTGTGTCTTGTTTTGGCATTATATAATACTGCTTACAAAATAATTACATTGTCTTCAGCAAACAAGGGGGGATAATTAAGATAAAAACAAGAACGAGGACGGCTCTGTTCAAACGTCTCCAAAAAAAATAAAAATTAAAAATTAAAAATAATCAATATTTGCTAGTGATGCTCGTAGAGTCTCCTTCTGAGGTCCAAGGAAACTTTGAGCTAGTTAACTTCAGACTGATCACATCACATTCCCAGGGTTATGAGTCTGATATTGATGACAGGGGCGATGGGTCAAAGTGTGGTTTCACAGACACTTGGTAGCCAAATTAGATGTTTCGTTTTATTTATGAGTTATTTTTTTTAAGATGTAGCGTCGTTGTCTGGTCTGGTACCTTGCTGCCATTTGTTTAACATTAACTTTTTAAAATTTTCTCCCCTTCCTGTCAGTTACACCTGTTGCTTACCTAACATTAGACAAGAAACAGGTGTTGCAGGAGTTGCTTGGAGAAAGGGAAGGGGAGAGAAACGGTGTACACGTGAATCTATTGTTCTATGGATATTTTAAAGAGGGCATACAGTTTGTTGATGAAGGTGGCATTTTTGCCAGCTGTGCAGATTTTTTAGAGGTCCGCTTATTCATTTCTGCTCGCTATGACATCACCGGTCAGTTGGCCATTCACCAAAATAACATGTCCTGGTGCCCCAATGAGCAGCATGCCACTGAAAAATAAAGAAAATAAGATAATCACAAAATGCTCTCTTAAATAATCACAAAATGCTCTCTTAAATAATCACACACACACACACACACACACACCTTTTTTCCCTGCATGCACCTGCATTGATTATATGTGTAACAGTGAGGAAGCCTGCTGTCCTACTGTGTGGACAGGGGTTTGATAAGAAAATTCTAAGTAGAAAATAAAAACCAAACAAAAAAAAAACAATTCAAATTTTATCTTTATATTTGTAAACTCATCTGACCTCATCTGTCTGAGGGGTCACTTACTTTAGGTCTGTGAACCTGTTACCTTAATTGCATTACGGTATTCAGTAGCACAATAATGTAGCACATTACTGTGCTACATTGTGTACAGTTACAATTAAGTCATTACTTGTGTTTCAATGGCTCTTTCTTATCCTCCAATGGTTAATAATGGTTAATAATTTATGTAGGAAGAGAGAAAATTGAGTTAAACGAAATTTAAGAAACATAAGCAACAGATTCAAAAGGATTGTTTTTTGCTAAGGTTGCTATGCAAACAAATGATGTAATGATTTTTTGAATTGAGCATTTTAAAAAAGAAAAAAAAAAAGAAAGAAAAAGGAATCGATTTTAATTTATAGAGGCTTTCTTAATGTTAGCTACCTGCCACACAAACAGGGCTGTGGACATTTTCACCAGATTGTTTTAAATAATCTTGGAGAATCACACAGAGGATACTGGTGTCAATTTGTGTGATGTGCTGAGCTGTAGAAACTACAGAGAGGTGTTAATACAGTGGATCTCTTTGCTCTCCAGTTCAGTGCTTTTACAGTTCCTCATAAAATCCCTACTTAAATTTTTACCATTTATCATATTATCACTTTTAAGGTAAGACATGTGTTTTTGGTTTTTTTGGGGGGGAGGGGGATTGTTGCTTTGTTTTTGCTAAGGTTGCTATGCATTTAAGCTGGAGTTTACCTAGCTAGTGTAACTAGCATTTTGAATCTGTTCCTTATGTTCCCTAAGATTCTTTTAAATCAATTTAATATCTTTCTACAAATTATATACCAAAACAGATTTTTATTTTTGGATTCAGAACTGTCATTGATGTGGGGGTTACAAATTTCTGGCAAAACGCCTTAAGGCTTCGACTCATGACTGAATACAAGACAGAAATTGATTTGGACTGCTTGATTGGCATAGAAACAGAGGTCAACCTCTCACAATTAGGGGTGGGTTTAAAAAAAATACATAAAAAATTCCTTATTCAAATAGATTTGAATAACGTGATATCGATATATTACTATATTACTGCCTGATTTTGTTTAAACCATTATTGCACACTTTCTGTAAAACCAATAAACTTCATTTCACTTCTCAAATATTACTGTGTGTGTCTCCTATATGATACATTTCACTGACATTTTTTATTGTAATAACCAACAATTTATACAGGAAAATAACGACTATTAACAAGATTGCCCAAACTTTTGCATCCCACTGTATATACCAGCTAGCTTAACTTCAGTAACCCTACAAACGTCACAGCTGTTTAGCTTTCGGTCTTCATTTATGTTGGAAATGATAGCAGAGCTCTACGTTTTATTTTTTTCAGAAATCTCTCAGTCAGAACATGGTATATTATATTTAGATGGAAGCTAGCGAGCTAACTTCTAACTCCATTAAATGTAATAATGTGCGTTCAGGTGTGCTCGGGGGTATGCGATTTCATGTGTTGAAATACAGGGCGTCAGAGGGGTTTTATGAGTTCATGTGTTTTTATTTAATCAAACCATACGGTTTTTAATTAAACCATTTTTTATCACTTTGGCTTGTCTCAACATTCAGTTATGCAGACATATGTGTTCTTAAAAGCAATTCTTTGTTTTTGCATGGAGGGGTGAAAGACGTTTTGGTTCGCAGTGCACCTTAACAAAGCTGGAATGCTTTTTATTCACATCTAGTCAAAAGTGTTGGTAATAGTGTTTTAATCACACTAATTTTGTGGTTCTGACAATGTCTCAGCTTGCAGTGATGCAAGCATTTTATTTTAAAAACGGCACAAATGGGAATTTCTTCTGAATGGGCAATGTCAGCCTGTTCACAAGAGTTTCATTTAATCAAACTACTTTAATCTAACTGGTTATTTACGCATCTACTGGGGTTTCTTTCACGGGTTCATGCGATCATTTTATTTAAAAATTGGGATTTGGGAATGTTGAACTAAGAGGGAGACAGAGCCAGCTAGTTTTTCAACACAACAGATGGTCGCAAATAACATTCAGCCCTTTAGAAAATAAACACTATTGGGCTACTTCTAAAACACGTTGCACACGATGTCACATTTTCCCCCAAAGCAGCCAGTATCGCTCTTTCAAACTAATTGTGTTTTAATCACACTCATTTTGTGATTCTGATGTCACAGCATGCATTTTATTTATTTAAAAACGGCTCAAACAGGAATTTCTTCTGTACGGTTTCAGAGGCTACTAGTTTTAACGCAATAGGTGGTCACAAATAACATTCACCACCTCTTTAGAAATAAATGCTGCAGTGATACCTCTAAAACCAGTCGCCCAGATCCGCTGTCTTTTCAACATCTGGCTAATTGTTTGAATTTGTTCAGGAACGCAAAAGCCCACCGTGGGTATCATTTAATTGTTGGGATTCATTAGGAAAAGGTAAAAGCCGACAGGTGTACCAGTCGAGCCGGGACCCAACCTATTGTTTAAAGTGGCCGGTATCGGCTCTTTTTGTAATTCCTCGACAAGGTAAAAGCCCCACAGATGTACCAGTCGAGCAAGGTCTCGTCTATTTTCTGAAGTAGCCAGCAACAGCGGACTCTTAGGCCTATCTTGGCCAGTTACACCGGAGCTCAGCAACTGCGTGCCCCACCCTCATTGTTTCAAACTTGCACAGCAAGGTGATGCCCTGCAGGTGTATCGCCCCCCCAGACTTATTGGCACTCCATCTATTGTTTTTGGAAGCACCCGGTCCTATATGAAGCGTTTCCCCGGTGTGTGACCCTCGCCTTTTCGCGTCAGGACCAGCGCCGGTGCAGACCATTTTCTACCCACACAGAGCGTTTCTGACCAGCCGGCGTTACTTATGCATAAGAGAAAAGCAACAGTGCAACGCGGTTCTCTGCTCCAAGACATCCGCGGTCCTTTCACACAGTAAGGATGTGTGTTATAGCCGGCGCTTCATAAATGTCTGTCTGGCAGCGCAGATTATTCAAACTGTTTTAAAAACGTGACTCATTTGTTGTCCAAAAAACATTTCCTCTAAATTTGCAAAGTTACTGATTTAAAAATATATATTTTCGAATTTTTAGCTGGATGTCAAACATATGATAGACTCTTGAGCATATTTATATAGCAAAATTCATAGTGGTATAACCATAAATGATGCCCAACTAACCAATGCATTCTAATGCAAGCCTTTAAACTGTATGTTGATAAGTGCATGAAGTATACCTTTACCTCTATAGCTGAAAAAAGTCTGTATCCATAAATTGTGGATCTATTGATTTGTTTTTAATGTGCCGTGTTTTTTTTCCCCCACGAACTGCAGATGATGAATTCCTCTTTATTTGAGAAAGTGTCCCTAAGCTACTGCGGCTCATACTTACTGAGTTCCCTACATACTTCTTTACTATGTCAGTAAACTTTTTGAACAAGAAAGGTACGGTAGATTTAAAGACACATCTTAATCACTATGTGAAGCAAAGGCAAAAAAATCGGAATTAATTTTATGTAGCTGTTCATATTAAATCCATCAAAGAGTGAAAATCCAAAAGCTGCTGCAATCCTTTGTAATAATGATCTCTCTCTGTGTCTGTGTGTGTGTGTGTGAGACGCTGCGTCTGCTACTATGTGAGTGTGTGTGTGCGCGTGCTCGCAGAAGGAAGGTCAAGGCAGGAGCTTTTTTTTTTTTCTTTTTCCAAGAAGTGGAGCTCATCTGCTAACGAGAGAACATGTTTTTTTTTTTTTTTTCTCATCAAACACTGTGATATGAAGCATTGTTAAAGTGTCACTTCAGTAATGCTGCTGGGAGAAACAAGTGTTGACTCATTTCTTTTCTTAAATACATGATTTAAAACACTAAACTCTAATTTCAAAGGTTTATTTTAAGTTTAAAGAATATAACAGCTGGTAAGACAGTGAATTTTGCTTCTCACTGTCCGTGTTATGTTGTAGTATCAATTATCATGTATGCTACTTTGCTCTGTGGACTGTAAAATGTTTCATTGTATTCATGAAATAAACCAGACGTTCAATGTCTGAATCTTTTACCGTTTTTCTGCTTTTGTTCACCCCAAGTTGACAAAACCCACAGACATCAAGAATTAACTCACTAACAATGTGGAGCAGTCTCGGTGTATTTAGCTGCTTTTACCCTAAACACAATCAACTGACTGAGAGAAATGTCTGTAGTCCCCACTTTGGTCATTATGAATGTTGAAGGAGATTTGTTCCATAGACACCTTATACTAGTGTTTCCTACACTTAATCCAACACTACTATGTTCTATTTAAATCCAGATTCCTTTTATAGATTGCAGTGAAACAAACTGTTTTGATAGCAGAAACACTTTGTGTTGTTAATCCTGAATGATTCTTGGTCACAACATTTTACTCCACACACATTTGAAAAATCGCACAGTTTGACAATAAATATCCCAGTCAAGCTTCATTTCTTAAGAAATATGCAGAGGGAGTTATCTTTATCAAAAGTAGAAGTTATATCTGTAGCTAAACTGTTGTACACAAACTTCAAGCCGGAGCTTATTTTTGCATTTTTAGATCTGTAGTGACATTTTTTGGAGCGTTTTAGGTTGCTATGTATCAATTTAAGTAGGGCTAAATAGGGCTTTGAACTTTTTTTTTTTTTTTTTT